TTACCTGAGGTGATAAAACTGGCTAATATTTGGATCCATGACTACCTTTTCATATGGTTTGACTGTTCTTAGTGTCTCATGCACGTGCTGTGATAAAATCCTTTCAGGAATGACTATTACCTAAAAGTTTTTAAAAAAAAACATAATTAAATTTTTTGATTCTACAATCCGTCTTTTTAATTTACCAAAGCTAAAAAATGAATTTTCGATTTGAGCGGCAGACCTTACTGGCATACTTTGGTGGGTAAGGTTTATTTCTTGTTGAGATCTTCTTGTAGTTATCAAATTGAATTTGCGTTGGATGTGTCAAATTTGAATAATCTTCCTAAATTTTAATACACGGTTGAGGGTCATCTACTTCGTACACTAAAAATGATAAAGCCCTTTTTCTTTCTCATCCAAAAAACTAAAGGAAATTAATATTTAGCAAAATCGTCAGAGTATCTCTAGGAGAGTTTCAAAAATGACATTCTCCAAGAGGAACAAGTTTGATATTCCAATTAGATTTTCAGAATCGTTTTATGTACTGAAAAGTATAAGCGAATTTCATTTAACTGACATATGTCTGTCCATATGTGCTCTGAAACATAATAGAAGCAATATTTTTGTTTTCCCTTAACTGATTGTCCAGAGCCGACAATAGCGTGCGATTATCAAATGCCACAAAAATTTCATCAAAGTCTGATAATGCCAAATAATCGGTGTTTCCTTTAGCTCGAAGTATACAGTCATTCCATACGAAGACTTGCTAGATAGAGGAGATTATGAACCAAATAAAATTGAAACTTAAATGCTTCAAAATTCTTTGCTGAGAATTGAATACAGCGATAAACATTACTGCTCCGAGATGTATAAGATTGTTAGGGTTTTCTTCATCTGAAACATCTGCTTCAGTAGGAAACAGATTCCACTGCACACGTTCTACACTGATATTTTGATCGTTTTCGTAAATACGAAAAATTCCGTCAACTTCCTTTGTAATGCTGTTGACATAAAAATAAAATTTTGTTGCGCCGTTCGCAATCCACGTCTGTAAATTAATAGTTAAGCGAATCTAAAATAATTAACAGGAAGAACTGTGAAGGACAGTAAGCGAAGAAAACGGCAGCTGAAGAACTGCCTTCACTGGCCTTTGCTAATTTTGAAGTGTCAGAGAAATTTTCTGCGGAAATCAATTAAAAACGAAATTTTGAAGCAGCAGACGCCGGACTCTACACTATTCTTTTGTTCCGCCATTTATAAGCATTCTGGCTTTGGCAGACAAACGAGGAAATTTTAATTTGCAAAAACTTTGAAGCGGCCTTAATGGACTTAGAGAAGTGGTAAAATAAATTTG